TCAGCCACAGATTTCACAGTTTACAAAGGAGGCGATAGATGCAGAACTCTGCATCTGATAGGATCTGATAGGATAGGATTGGACTTCTATCAGATGCCAAAGATAATGAATATTCAGGGTGTTCAATTTCTTACGTGACATGGTCATTAAAGTGTGGGTTTCAATGCGTCCCAAGGCTTGACCTCTGACCCACTTCTCAAATCCATTTCCAAATTATTAATTGATAATGTTGCAGCAAGGTTTCAAATCGAAGTGTAAAACTGTTTGAATCTCCTCCTCCTTTGGTATTCAGACACGATGTTCGATTGAATCCTTGACCCTGAAAATGGACAGATGTTTGGAAATCTTATAATGGTGAAGGGGAGGGCTGGTTTCAATGCGGTGGTCAGGGGAAGCAGATCTGCTTGCATCCCAGCAGAGCAAGGCCGGCATCTGGGGAGGGGCTCTTGCTGCGGAAGCCACTAGTGCATTGGCCTTGGAGGGGACATACATCTAGTGGGACTTTCTTACACACGTACCATCCAGCATGGCCAAGTCAGTCATTTTCACACTTCAGATTAGGAAGCAAATTATTAAATCAATTTTTGGGTAAAAAAAAAAAAAACTTTTTAAAAGTGACATGAAATAGAATAGCCTAACACAGCAAGGGGTGGCACAGGACAGTCTTTTACAAAGGACTTGAGTTAAGCGGCCAATTCTTGATCTCAGCTCAGGTCTTGATCTCAGGGTTGTGAGTTCAAGCCCCACATTGGCTTCCATGCTGCACATGGAGCCTACTTCAAAAAAAGGACTAGAGTGCACGACTGCATGAAGTGATAGAAGCATGGTCTAGTAAAGCTCGTTTCTGGTGCATTCGCAGGAGCTTGAGTTCACGTGCACATGTAGCAGGGCACCACGTGCCGTGTGCTGGTTTGGTTTTGCCCACCCACAATGGCCACACATGCAACTCTCTTTAGAGACATCCCCCGATAGCTTGAAACTGGCCGTTGTAGAAGATTCTACACCATGGAAATAGGCCAATCGGGCTTTCAGAAAATAAGGCTCTCCTGCCCCACTCCCCATGGGCACTGCCTGTTGGACCCTCACCAGAACACTGCCGGTTATGTTAGGAAGCAAACAAACAAGCGAAGCTTTGACACTAGCCTGCCTGAGTTACCAGAGGTTCTGAGATGTGTGTCTAGATATGTCAGTTATACATCTTTCAAGAGACACACAGAATCAAGAAGAAAACAACTTGTCTGAAGGAACTGGTGACTCATTGGATGCAATGATGTCTTATTTAGAAGCTCAAATTATTCTGTCTGCTGAGATGACATCAAGGTTTTGGTGGCGGCTTTTTTGATAAAAGTAGATTTGATAAGGACCTTTTATGAGGTGGGGGCACTGCAATGGCCTCAATATTGTTTCCCTCACCCCCAAAATTCATACCTTGAGATCTTAACCCCCAAAGATGATGGTATCAGGAGGTGAGGTCTTTGGGAAGTGAGTGGGTCACGAAAGTGGAGGCCTTGGGAATAGGATCAGTCTTATACGATGGGATCAGGTCTCACAAATGACCCCCGAGAACATCCTTGTCCCTTCCCTGATGTGAGGACACAGAGGGAAGAGGCAGCTATGAGCCAGGAAGAGGCCTCACTGGAACCCGACCATGCTGACACCTTTACCTCAAACTTCCAGCCTCCAGGAGCAGGAGAAATAAATTTTGTTGCTGGTCCATCACCCCATCCAAAGGATTACACTGCAGCTGCCCAAAGGGACTGGGCAGATATCAACTGTCAGGCCCAAAGCCTTCGCTTCTGCCCTCAGGCCCATGGAAGGGTGCTGATGTGCATCACCCAATGTGGACTCAGATGTGTTAGATGCTAACTCCCTCAGTGGTGGAGGAGAAGCAGGCAAATTCAAGGAAAGCTCCAGGCTGAGTGTGAACATCGCTCATGTCTGGGTACTGACCCTTTCTTTTGTTGAGCAGTAACCTTGCACCCAACAGATGCATTTCCCCATTTCCTGCAGGGTTTCAATTCTAGATCATGAAGTATTTTGTGAAAGAAATGCTTTCACATCATTAGGAATTTGTGACAGTGAGCTAAAGGGCCAGTGAATCTCAGGTCACAATGCTTCATGGAGGTTCCCAGGCCCCCTACTCAAGCATCCACTTTCCTAGCTACCCTCCCTTGTTGCCACTTTGGGTCCTTTGCTCCACAAAAGCAGACCAACATGTGGACTGTCCATGCAGCTCTGATGTTCCTGGGGCCCCAGTTGGCCATCTAGCTCGTAGGTGAGCCAGGGCTCATCTGGGATCTGCATTTGCCAAGCAAGCAGCTGTTCTTAGGCATTGTAGGTTTATTAGACTATCCAGGGAAAAGCAAAGAGGGGCCCCTGAAAGTTATGGAATCATGAAGGATCCCAGTGACGTGCTCTCCAGCATCACTGAGGACCTGCTTTCCCTCAGGCCAGCTCCAAACCACCATCAGTTCCCTCATCCTGGAATGTCCAGTTCTGATTGGCTCGTCATGAGACGAAGTCATGACAGCCTTTGCTCAAAAGCACTTAGCACTACCTTCCTTCCAGAAGTTAAAAACACAAAAAGAAACTACAGAGATGTATGTTGCAAGGTTTGTCTGCGTGCATACGTGGGTGTGTTTACTTATTCCCAGCACCCGTTTCACACACTTCTAAGCAGCCGCGCAGGCCCGTGGCTCCTCTGGGGAAGTCCGCAGCAGGACGTCTGGATACACAAATATGCCGCAGCTGCACCACCGCCCCCCTCAGCTCTCACCCCCTTCGCCACAGCCTCTGGCCTCGCCTGCTCCCTATCCCCCAGCACAAGGTCCCCTGCCCTGAAATTTGGGGGAAAGAGACAAATTCTGTGTCCTCACTTTTCCTTCAAAAGTAAGCAAGTACAGGTTACAGGAAAGTGATGTGTTCCAATAGCGAGTGGTAGAAAAGACACCTTTCCTCTGGGACACGAGTAACAGTCCTCATTGTTCAATATAAACTACAAAATAATAGTCGTGTCTCTCCTGAAAGATGATGGCTGAGGAAGCCCTCAGGAGGCAGGCAGTGCCAGACCGTCCCTGCAGGCTCTGGGCTGGAGGTGGGGGTCCCAGGTGGACCCAGGGAAGCGCCACCTGTGCCAGTCGCCCCTCCCTCTGGCCACTGCACCAGCTCCAGCACCACGGGGGTCATCACTCCTGGAATGGGGTTTCTGTCCGAGTTCTGTGTTCCCAGTGTGTTCCCAAGCTGGCCACCTGCCAACAGGCTTCCTTACAAGGAAACGCAATAGAGAGCCCAATGGAGGAAGCAGGTCACCAACCTTCAGTTGGCGCAGGCAAACGTTTCTGTCCACCAAGTCTTCATTTTGGGGTTGCTTGCACCCTGAACACACTTTATAACAACTGTTTTCCAAACTTTGGCCATTTGTGTGCATTTTTATAATTTGTCATATCTGCATACCATCTGTCTGCTGCTTATTTAATACATTTTTGAAGACAATGCAATTTATTTTTAAGGAAAATTTTCGTAGCTGGAAAGCCAGTATCATGCACCATAAATAGAATGTCACCATGAAAACAGAAACAGTGAAAAAGAGAAACCACATCACTAAATTCTTTCTAAGCCTGAGGCCCTCTCTCTCAGAGAAGATTTTAGCATCAAACTAAAACTATTTCTTTCAGTAATGCTCTTCAAACAGAAGAATGGAAAGAGAACCAAAATAATCATCATAATAAACAACTCTGCTGCGCCGGGACTTCACACTAACCAGGGCACCCGGGATTTATCTCGTTGCCACCAAAAGGCTGGTGCTGAGCATGTGTGTATGTCTGTGCCGTGTGGATATGTGTGTGCAGGCGTGTATAAATGTGTGAGTGCACGTTGCACCAAACATGGATGGAATACGGGGTGGTTCATCTTCCACATAGTAGATTCGAGCCCTTGATATTTTTATTAGGTTAGGAAGCCTTTTTCCAGGTAAACGTATTGTCTCCAGAAGTCTTTGCAAATACAGAGACAGGCGCATGTGTCCCACTGCATGCTGTATGTCCCCAGGGAGCTAGGAAACCTCCAGGAGGAGAGCCTGCACAACAGCTAAGACTCTACTCACTCAAGGTCTCAGGGGTGCCCCCGATGTCTAAAGTAGGGGACATAGCAAGGTCGCAAGCTCAACTATCCCAGTTTGGCAAGCAGGACAAAGGAAATGAGTGATGCTTTTCCCAGAGGGTGCCACCTCCTAGCCCGGCACAGACATTCCATGGAGTACGGGGGTTGCTTCTGTGATGTCATATCCTATCCTGCTGGAAACACAGAGCTTACTTCATTTTCCAAACTGCTTGGAGTAAACCAAAGTTCATTCTCAATACATGCCTCTACCTCGGTTCCCTGAATACTGAGTGCTCAGCCCTGCATGGCGGACAGAGCAGCACGCACTCGACCTGCGTTGTCAAGGGGACGTGGGAATGTCCCAGAGGCTTGTGAACGAGTCACAGGGTCTCGCAGGCTTCCCATCGGCCTCTGCTCCCTGGACAGCAGCTGAGGTCAGGTCTGAGCATCTCCTTTCCCCATGCTTATAGAGAGTTATTTCCCATACCCCTTGGCTCCTAAATGCAAGTCAACTACTTAACCTGGTGATCGGCTGAAGGAATAGCTCTGTGTTGTTTTGCTGGGCAGCTTAAAGGAGTTTCAGAGAAAATGTGGACCATGTACACACAATGTGTGCCTTACAACACCAATTTAGACTTTCACTTCATGGGACTTTATCCTGATGTGACTCCTCCGCATTTCCTAAAAACCTACCCTTTGTAGAAAGAAATTAGCTATAAAGATTTACGAAGCCTCATCATCTTTAACCTTGGTTTTCATTTTTAAAAAGCAGAGTTCAGTTACTTAAAAAGGAAAAAAAATAATTTGGTTAGAAGAGGAATGTCAACTAATTTTAGGAAATATGTAAAAAGTATAAAGAGGAAGACAGACATGACAGCAATGTTTAAGACGTATCCACTTACTTCAGGACCTACAATCACCATGTAAACGTTAGGCTCTTCTTGATGCCATTCTTGGGAAGAAAAAGAAAAAATTTTTTTAGTGGTTTCATGTCATAGATGGAAACATAATTAATAATAATTATGTGACAAGATAAATCCTTCATATCGTTTTGCTCTCATTCATAACAGTCAAGTTATATGTATTTAAAATGTAAATATTGAACATCATATACTTTTAAGTAAAATGCTTTTTCTAAAATGTTATGCATTATCCAGATCTCTCACCTACTGGACAATCAGGAGTAATCAGTCCACAAGCCAATATGGACTTTAGGATATTCAAGCAATGCAGCAAATCTCCAAACGCGTCACACAAATTGACATGTGTAAAACATTTCTGGATGAGATTATATTAGATTTACAATTATTCACTATTTTTGTGATTTCCCGAGAAGCCGAGGGCACATGAAAGTAGAAATGCGTGAGATCACTACCCAGCACTATTATTTTTCTGTTTTTCTTCCAGAATAACAAACTAGAAGCAGTTCTGCTCATGTGGAAAGATGGAGACAGCAACACTCAAAATCCCAATGGGAGAGGCGCTAAGACCAGTCCCCAAACAGAATTCTATAAACAAAACGTACCTGAGAATGCATCCACCAAATAAAGAGGGTCCTTAACTTGTCTAAGTCCACACACCAGGAGAAAGATGTGTAAATTATCAGCACTTTGGCTAATTCCTGCAACAGAAGAGGTCAGATATTTTCAGCAGAGAGAAGGCAGCTTGATGCCATGGGAGCAAAGATCCCGACACAGCTCCAACGCTGCAGGGCTCTGACCTCTCTGCACCTGCTCCCGCCCCCAGTCTGCACACGATTCACTGCACGCACTGCTTCTCCTGGTGGGTAAACTTGAGCTGAGCTCAGCCCAGTAAATGTGAACCCAGCTCTGTGCAATGAGGAAGGGGACAACGTGAACTGCGGACCCTGGAAGATATTTGGATACAATTGTGGTCAGGAAGAGCATTTTCTTCATGAAAGTAGAAAGGTGTTTTACAGTCATGCATTCCTGAGCCCGTGTGTGTATATAGAGGTGCACACATTGGATGCGGGTGAGCTCACAGGTCCATAAGATAAAGGGGTGGGTGGCTCCTCTCACGGAGCGCTGGAACCGCCTTCTTCGCCCTTCGGCTCGGGCAGGCCTGGTGATTAGCATCGACTGACAGCCCAGTGGAAGGGCAGCCAGTGACTTCTGAGTCCCCGCCTCGGGAACCCTATGTCGCGGTGTCTCACTCCCTGGAGCACCACCGACTCGCAGCTCGCAGCTGGGCCAGCTGCCTCCTTGATGGGGAGGCTCTGCGGGGAGATGCCCGGCTGCCCTCCTGAGGAGGCCACGCAGGACCGGCAGGCCTCATCCCAGCACAAAGGGAAAGGGGACCCAGCAGCAGAGCGGGGAGGCCGGCAGCAGCTGCCCCCTGAGCCTGGGCCAAGCTGCCAGCCCCACGCAGTCATGAGAAACCAGGGGCTTTCAAGCCCGTTTATGCTGAAGTGGTTTGATGGGCAGCAACAGGCAAGTGATTCGATAGAAATTATCCGTGTAAAATTAACACAAGCTAACCTAAGACTTCATCATTTCCAAATGCATATAATTGGGCATAAAATCATGCAGGTGAGAGGTTTTCATTCATGCATTTTATCTCACCCATTATTTTATGCAAACACTGTCAGTTTCTCTGTGCTTTTGTAAGCCTTGAATAGTAGTATCATCAGAGTGAGCGTGACGAGGCACAGTGACACTGCCTCACACGGTCACACATGCTGCACAATAACCACGTGTGACCACATCTGAGGATATGTGCTGAAGTGTTATGGCTGGGGGGTCCCCCTGGGAAAGGCCCTAAAAATGCACCACAGGCTCCGAAGTACTGTTAATTTCATTCAGGCATGGTACGTTTGTAAAATATTTCCCCAATATTTGGAGCACCTCGAAACTAATCTTAGGAATATAAAACTTACTATTTGTTTGACCAAAAGCCTAAGCGAGAAGCTGTGTGCAGAATTCAAATCCAAGATCAGAGGCATTAGAGGCCAGAAGACACGCTATTCCCTTTAATAAGTGATAAAGTTGAAGGAAACCTTTAAGGGACAGGAAGATGAGGTGTGAGAAACAGAAAAATCTCACATTACCAGGCAAGACCTATCAGTGACACTGAAGCCAGCGAGTGAACATCTGATGAGGACAAAAATTAAAAGTGCCTTCATGAAAATTAGTTAGTAGTGACAATGGAAAGATAACAGAGGTACAAGGAGAAACTCAGGGGATGCCCACTTAATTATGGGAGGAAGCCTTAGCCCAGGGCATGTGGTGTGTGCACGCGCACACAGGCACATGAACACATGTGCACAGGTGCACACACACACAGAAGTCCACACATGCGTGCATACACACTTTATATATTTATATATATATATATATATATATATACATATATATACATTTTTTTTAAGCACCAGTACAGGGGAAGCTGATGTGCTGTGTAACCCCACTGGGCAGGACACAACATCACAGATATCATCATCATGATGTCTATAGAGTATCTCCTCAAACAGGCAAGAAGAAGGTAAGAAGGAAAGTAGAAGGAGATGCATGATGCACCCAGAAGGGGAAAATCAGAAAACCTGTATTAATGAATTGAAACAAAGTACAATAGCAAAATAAACACACAAAGACCATCCAGAGATAGTAGCCAAAGAAAGCACAATTCTAAGAACCAATGTGATGTCCTAGTAAAAAGACTTCATTTACTTCTGTATTTTTGCTGTGTGACAAAGCACAGATGTTGGAAATCTATTTTGTCCCTTTATTTTGATGAGACATGCATTAGCTACTCAGAACAGCAGGTTTGGGAAATCTGGGGCCTTCTGCTCAGGTGAAGCTGGAAAAAGTGTCCCTCTACCTACCCCTACCCCAGGAGCCCTAGAAAGCTAACCTTGAGAGAGAGTAGCCCACAATGGACAAAACTGACCTTCAAAACGCTCTATGACTTAGGGAAGTATACATATATCACATTGAAACCTTGTACACCGGGCGCCGGGGTGGCTCAGTTGATTGAGCGTCTGCCTTCGGCTCAGGTCATGATCTCAGGATCCTAGGATCGAGCCCCGTGTTAGGCTCCTTGCTGAGTGGAGCCTGCTTCTCCCTCTGCTCCCCACTCTCCCCCTGTTCATGCTCTCTCATTCTCTCTCTCTCTCAAATAAATAAAATCTTAAAAAAAGAAACTTTGTACACAAGATATATATATATATATATATACACATATATGTTTATATACACACACATTCCCACATTCCCCAGCCCCCCAAACTAGTCTAATTACATATGAGGAACTCTGATGTTTTCTAACTCATTTCAATTTTTTAAAGTGCTGGCCCCTGGGACTGCCTGGGTGGCTCGATCACTGGAGTGTCCAAGTCTTGATCTCAGGGTTGTGAGTTCAAGCCCCATGTTGGACTCCACACTGAGTGTGGTGCCAGCTTAAAAAAAAAAATGAAAATAAAAAAACAAAAGTGCTGTTTCTCAACTTACTCACTGATTTTGAGAACCCTACTTACCGGACCCTAGAGGGAGACAGAGCCAGCCCTATATATTCTCTTGTCTTTCTCCTCATGTTCTTCCTGGGAGATTAAATGTCATGAGAATTTAGGAAACTAAATTAGGCCATGGCAGGACACAGGACTACATGCTTTGCCTTATTGTAGGATTTACAAGATTTTAAATATAAAATACAGAGGCAGCATTGGGTTTGAGTAGCGTCTGTGCACTTCCCGAGCACAACAGTATCGTTTTCAAGGATATGGAGATGAGAGTTGGAAAGTCATGATCAGGCAAGCACATGCTGAGGCCCCAACCTGGAAGTACCCAACTCAGCCTGTGTCCTGGGCCAGGGCTGTGGACATGTATGGTGGCCACTCTTAGATTTCACAGCAGAATGAAAAGAAAGTGGCCTACAGACGTCTGGAGGTGAGGCAGGAGCCTACCTAACATTTTAGTGCATTTCATTTCTTCCTTTTAACTCCAAACTTATGTTTCTTTCTGTTGTTTCTCTGTGAGCATCCAGGTTGAACAGGAGTCAAGGTCTGAACTCATCCCTCACAAATGCTCAGATTTTCATGTCTGTCCTTCCAATGTTACCATGTCCTGGAGAATGGTATTTTTATCTTCAAAACAGTGAGTCGCTTTCGAGAGCTGGCACCGTATCCCTGAAGGCTGAGCGTCCGCCATACTCCCCAACCCTCTGCATGATTCATCAGCTGGCTCTGCAGCGCAAACCCGATCTATGCTAAGCCACTTTTTCTCCCATCTTCTGTTCTAGCCACTGTTTATTTTAGTTTTTTCCATGGGTCATTATAAGGAGAAAAGAATACAAGGACTTTGGTTGAGCACATTAGACATAGTGAATTTTAGCTAGAAAATCTGATTTTTGGGCTGTGAAAATATCAAGGGATCTGGTAACATGAATTTTTCCACGTGAAAAACAATGGGTTTTCTAGGGATGCCTGGGTGGCTCAGTGGTTGAGCATCTGCCTTCAGCTCAGGGCGTGATCCCAGAGACTGGGATCAGGTCCCATGTCGGGCTCCTTGTGGGGTGCCTGGTTCTCTCTCTGCCTATGTCTGCCTCTCTGTGTCTCTCATGAATAAATAAATAAAATCTTTTAAAAAATGTGTTTTCCTAGGCACAGCGAAGGAGGAAAGATACCACCATCTGAGCTTGGCAGATTCGAATCTCCACGTAGAAATATAAATACAGTTTACAAAAGGAGAGGGGAAGAAAATTAAATAAATATGTTAACAATAAATATACAAATAGAATAAAATCAGGAAGGTAATGGTCAAATTGAAGTTTTCATAGTATTAGGTTTGGTGGCCTACAAAGAATTGCTGTATAAGGTACAATAGTCATTGGATTTAAAAGCAAAAATCACACATCCTTGAACCATAGCAACATTCAAGTTGGACACGGAAATGCAGAGAAACACTAAGGTGACTGACTTGATACCTGTACATGTATCTTCTGATGAGAATAACTATTGTAAATATCATGTGAAAAATTATAACGATGCTACTTAGTGCATTTAACCGACTTTATTTTTCCCTAGCTGATTTATTGGACTGTGAAATCTGGTTAGCATAAACATCGTTCAATGTTTTAAATTCAAGGATTTAGTGGTTTGTTAGTTGGGGCTTAGAGACACTGAATATTCTCAGAAGGACCTCTGGCATGCTGTAAAGGAGAATGCATCATAAACTCGGCACCGGAGACCCCAGAAGCAGATGGTACCCCTTGATGGCTAACGAAGCACTCGTCTGCTGGTAGGCACTGTTAAATGAGACCCTTTCCCACCCATTCCTCTTGATTGCAAGGTTAGCAGTTCATAAGAATTCAGAGGGTGAGTATCTGATCATAATAGTCTATGTCAAATTCACTGTATCTTCTGTTTTCACTGTCTGAGGCTCAAAGTGGAAGTGACAAATCACAATCACAGGCTCTGAACACCAGGGTAAGATCAAGGATGGGTGGGGAAGACGGTCCATCTCTAAAATCTGAAAGATGACAAAGATGAATGACCCCGCAAATGAGAACAGACGCCTGGTTATAAAACCCAGAGACACCGATTGATTCTGCCTCCACCTTATGCCATGATCCAGCAGAGCCGGCGACTATGACACCACCACGCTTCCCTCTGCCATGTGTCCCGAGCACGTTCACAGCTCCTAATTGCACACATTAAGTTGGAACTGCTGCCCAGCAGGTCTCCGGGGGAAGTGCCGCCTGAGGAGTCTTGAACATCCCTTGGCTGCCTGTTCCGTTAATCACTCAGTAGTGAGACCAATGATACAAACAACCATGAGGCTACAGGCTTGATGAAAAATCACTCTCCTTTTGGAAATTATGACATAGTCACACAGCAATGGCATCCCATGATATATAAAAGATGAAATAACCTCCCAACAGGCAATTTACAATGGGCCCACTGGTTCTGAATAATGGCCCGTACTCCCCAGTGTGACAGAGCAGTGGGACAGCAGGGGTTCATCTGTGATGCAGAGAATGGCCCTGCTGCTGGTCCCGAGGTTGATGGATGCACTCGGAAAATTGTTTCTAATAAAATGCTTGGAATTCTTTTTTCCAAGGGAACCTAACACTGACATGCTGTAGGGGATGGGAGTTTTTGTCTGATGTTTCTGGAGTGAAAACAGGCTCGGGGTGTCTACATGTGTTGCAGATGTGGCCCACAGTTTGCATTTTCAGCTCTTCTCTGAAGTTTATAGCAGGCTTACAACATCAAGCCCCTTCCCCCCACCAGTACCCTTGCACTGTTGACTCTTGTGAGAAGCAGTTCAGGTTAAAACAGATGAATTCTTAAACTTTCCACTGCTTTTGGTGAGTCAGTGTTAGCTGTTCTCACACCTTCACAGAACTACTGGGCTGGGTACCCTGTAAGGCAATGATAGCTGCCAAGAGTATACACTTACAGGCCTCATTTGTGGACAAAAACCTTTCTTTATTTAAAGATATTTTGCAACAGAATTTTGTTTGAACTTCGTGACTGCACTTAGATCATACCACATATGGAAAATATGAAGGCTAGACTCCATTAGCTCCACTGTGTGTAGGAAAAATGGCACCCTCATCTCATAGCATTGCTGATGGACATACTCACTGCTGCTACCTTTCCAGGAGACATGACGCATGATGTACAAAGGCTCTGATTGAGTGCGTAATCTAACCCAGAGACTGTTTTTTAGGTGTTCCAAAGAAAACAATTGGGCAAATGTATGAAGATTGAAATCCTAGCACCTCTACCGCTACATATCAAAATGTTTAAAAAGGGATTGGTCAAATAAGTTTATAGAATTCAAAATAATACTACAAAGGAATTGAAACTATGCTGTAATCAGAATTAATATATACATTTATAAGATTTCAGGATATAATGTAAAAAATCAATTATATTTTTGTATACTGGCAACAAATAATTCAAGAATAAAACTTAAAAAACCTTTAGAGTAGCATCAAAAACAATAAAGTCCGTGAAAAAAAGACATAAGACCTGTATACACAAATCATTATGAAGATAAATGAGACTTTAAGAAGTAGACAGATCATGTTATGGATTTTAAGACAAATTATTTTTAAGGTATCAATTCTCCTTAAATCAATCTACAGATCAATACAATAGGATTTTATTAGAGATTAACAAGATGAGCGGAAATGTATATGGATACGAAAAAGACCTAGATCAGCTGAAACAATTCTGAAACAGAGTTGTCGACTCACACTACCCCTTTTCTCAACTATAAAGCTGCAGCAGGAAGACAACACAATGTCGGCATATGGATGCAGATCAATGGACCCTCATACACAGTAAACTGATTTTGAGCAAAGAAATTCAATGAAGGAAAAACATTTTCAATGAACAATACTAGAACAACTTTCACAAAGAAAGGGATTTTGATCCCTACCTCATACCACAGGCAAAAATTAATTTCAGATGGGTTAGAATCCTAATGATAGAACGAAAACACTGAAACTTCTGGAGGGAAAGAAATAGGGAAAATATTTCTGTGAACTTGGAGGAGGCAAAGGTTTCTTGATCAGGGCTCAGGCAGTGCTAAGCATTAATGAAAAGTGGATAAATTAGAAGAAAATGGAACGATAAACCAGAGGAAACAGGAGAAATATTCACATATATGGATGTATCTAACAAAAGACATTAATCCAGAATGGATTAAAAATCCTCCTTCAAACCCACTCTTCCTCCCATTCTCTCAAGAAAGACAAAAGAGAGAAGCCAGGTGTGTCCTGAACCCAATTCTTATTACTCTCTTCCCTGTTCACCTAAAACAGTAGACATCTTTGACCTGAAGAACCTCTTTTCCAAAACCACGTGAGCACACCATGTACCTGACACTACTGGACAAGATGCACTCTGGTCAAAATCTTGTAAGAAGGGATGCCTGGGTGGCTCAGTGGTTGAGCATCTGCCTTCAGATGCTGGCGTGACCCCAGCGTCCTGGGATGGAGTCCCACATCAGGCCCCCTGCAGGGAGCCTACTTCTCCCTCTGCCTATGTCTCTGCCTCTCTCTGAGTCTCTCATGAATAAATAAATAATTAATTAAAAAAATCTTGTAAGAAGGTTCATCTCTCACCTGAACAGTGAAGGAAGGTGTTCCAGTTAAAGGCGGCGTTTGGTACTGTCACAATTCCTGGGTTGAAGGAGAGAGAGAGAAAAGAGAGAGAGAGAGAGAGAGAGAGAGAGAGAGAGAGAAAGAGACCACGTTGATGAGAGGCAACCAGCTATTTTGGGGTCAATGTTCAAATATTGGTCTCATACTTGGTTCTTACAAAGAACTCAAAGTTCTGAGTGCTTTGTGAACACCTGTTCATTCCTCCCCCAAAGGAGGTTCAAAGGGAGCCCACAAGGTTTCCAACAAGGAAGGGCACACCACTTTCAACCTCCATTACTGGGCGGGACAGCTGCCAGGTCGTGGGAAACACAAGTCTCTAACAAACACCTGAAAGCAACAGGCTTCTAAAACACAGCCCCACATATGAATTGTGTCTCTGTTTAAAATTCCTAATCTCAACCCTCTCCACATCACACACAATTGCCCGCTATCTGTGGCATCTCCTTGAGCAGATTTAAGTTTAAAATTCCCTGAATTGAACATTTTGAGATGTAGGAAATTCAGAGGTAACATTTAACATATTATCCTGATAATAAGACAAATCTAAAGTTTTATGAAATGTAAATTAAGTCAATAACCCTTTCTGCAATGTACCTTTGAGATCATCATTTGCACTGAACAACACAGGGTACTCAACTATTGTATACTTAGTGACTGTGCACTGCACAGTGCCTGTCCTGGGCGTAGACTCTAGTTGGATGCAATCCACACACTTCTGGAGTCCCTTAAAGCCCTGCTGAGTAGACAGACTCCCTTAGTTTATCCGGATGGGAATGAGGTTCAGAGAGGTTACATGGTGTTCACGGCGACTCAGCATGTAGGTGGTGGAGGCTACGTCCAAACCTGTGTGTTGCTTCAAAGCCCATGCGTGTCTGGTGTGCCTATGTGTTCCCCAGCTACAAATCAGGCCCCAACAGAGGGATGAGGAGGTGCCAACCCTGCACCTGCCCTGACACTTAAAGACACCTTTTATTATATATAGAGTCAGGGTATCTTTTAAAAAATGGGCGTTCCAAGAAAGGGCTTACTTGGTAAGTGATTCTTCCGCTAAAAACGTCACTGAAACCACTGGGTCATTTATACGTGTGATAATGCATGGTGTGCAGCTAAGGCAGACCTCGAGGGCTGTGCCCCTCCGGGCCTCAGCACCTGAGCTGACCTGAGCTTGCGAGGGGTTACATGCTCCTATTTGCAACTGCCTCTTCCATGATTCCTATTGTTTCAACAATAATACAATGGTTCCCTTGCTGTGAGATTTTTTTATTCAGGTGACCAAAATATATTCCTCATATATATGTGGTTTTGTCCATGGCTTGTGGTCCACAGCTCCTTTGACCTGAAGAACCTCTTTTCCAAAACCACGTGAGCACACCATGTACCTGACACTCACTGTGTTTAGATGCTGAGGGTTTCCCGAGAGGTTGTGGAGGCCACTGTCTGGGAGGAACTGGGTGAGGGCAGGAAGGGGTAGATTGGAGCAGAAGGGCTCCACTTCCCCTTAACTAAGAGAGAGAAGCTCAGCTTTCTCTTTTTGTAACATACCCCTGGGACAGTACATCTACTGTCGAAAACGTTAAAGGATCTGTATTTTAATTTTTTTTATAATGTCATTATATTTGTTCTTTATCTTCATGTCAGGCCATATAGGCACATCCATTCTACAAATTATTAGTAGGTAAATCTAAGACATCATATAATTTCATCCACAGGCACATCAGTACACGTCTCTAAAGGGACTCATATTTTAAAATGCGTAAACTTTAAAAATTCTTACCTTGACTCTGGACATAGATCTTATCCCTGGCATGCGGCTTTTGAAAAGAAGGGAAAAAGGAAAATAAGTAAATGGGATAGTGCATTACAACTGCTTTTTAGAAATAAAATGAAGGCCATAAGAAAAGCCGCCTTGGAACAAGTCACAAAGAATCATCCACGCAGCCGCTCATATACTGGTTACTTTCCAAGAGCACAGAGTTCCTTCTGCTTTTAATAGGGGTTAGCCCATTAAAAACCCAGCATTTTCAAGGTAAGAAGCACAAAGAAGGAGGTCCTTTAAATTAGGCGTAATGCGTTATTACAATCGTATAGTTACTACATTAGTATAAAGTTACTGAAGCTCAGAGAACACGCCAATGGCAGAGCCCGTGGGGAGCCTATCTATTGTGTGCAGAAGCTCGAGGTAGAAGTTTGGGGACACAGATCCTTGAACAGAGAAAGTACACTCCCCAATCCCCACCTGTGGGGAAGAAACAAGGAGAAGGAGGGGAGCTAAGGGAAGATAGGGGTGGCCCTCCCCTCTGCCCCCTGGATGGGAAAGGCCTGAGAGGTGCAGTATCTGGCTGTTTTTTAGGGCAGCTGAATGCAAATCTGTACACAGACAGGAATCTCTGTTTGCTTTGCTTTTGTCCTCAGTATTACATTCTTTATCTAACCAGCAGAAGCACCTGATACCTTCTAAAGCCTGGACTATCCTCCTCAACTCACCATACAGCAGGGAAGCACCCTCTTTGAAAATGCCCTTACAATAGTAAGCCTTAAAAATATTTTTAAAAATTCTCCTCCCTACTAGTGAAAAAAACAAAAAGAAAACCAAAAATGTTAACTTTAAAGGGAAGTTTTTAATGGAAAAAAATGGCTAAAAGCAACAAATTGAAATTAGAAACTGACGTTTAGAGGCTTAAAACACTCTTTTTGTGTAATTATAATTTCACTGGAAAGCTGAAGAGACTTTTATTGGCATGCAGAGGAGGCTGGGCATGCTTCTTCTTCAACCAGCCCTGAGAAAGGGATGCTAACACATTGGCAAAAACATATCAGCCTGGCATTTACACTTTAAAGCGAACACCAGCATTTGACAAAAACAGATTCAATATAATTCTACATAGATTTGATTAATTAAGGGAAGGCAAAATAGGGTTTTTGCCTTGCCACTGTTTCCATTAGAAATATGCTCCATCTGCAATTAGAAATACATAAACCCAAGATGCTCCCTTCAAGACAATTTCTTCTGAAACAAACCAGAAATTAATTAAACTGGCATCCCAACTCCATAAGCAAAATGAATGGACTCTATGTGGAAATTCCTGAATTTATCCGCTGGTCTTTACGTATCTCCAAGCATTGCTTCCCCTAAATCTACCAAAACCACGAGAAAATAAAGAAGTATCAAGTCCTATATGGACATTTAAAACACGTTATGAATAATATTTTAAGATCTTATCCTAGCAAGTCAGGAAAATAGAGTTACAATATTTAAAAAATCTGGACTTTGGTTATTTTTAACCTTTGTAACAAAAGAAATCTGGCAAAAGCCAACTGGCTTCTATCGATTTTGAAAAGCATTATCTATATTAAAATGCTCTAAATACAAATTAGTTTTCTTTGCTCAATATTTATTGTTGGTTCTCTTGCCTTGAAATAAGAGTCAAAATCCTTGTATATCACTTCCCTTGCAAGATTAGCTCATTGATGCAGAAAATGAAAAAGGAGACTGTACGTGTGTGTGTGTAGAGGGTGTGGAGGGAGGATGCTGCATGGTGTCTATGAGAAACCATTACTTAATTTGGCCCATTTACTAGATATAAAAAGTCAGTGTCCTGTTGGATAGATACTTATAAGTACACATGACTTTTAACAGACACAAATGCTAATTAATGCATTTTTATAATGGAATAACTGACAGTGGGGATCCCTGGGTGGCTCAGCGGTTTAGCGCCTGCCTTTGGCCCAGGGCGTGATCCTGGAGTCCCGGGATCAAGTTCCACATGGGGCTCCCAGCATGGAGCCTGCTTCTCCCTCTGCCTGTGTCTCTCTCTGCCTCTCTCTCTCTATCATGAATAAATAAATAAAATCTTTAAAAAAAAAAAAGGAATAACTGACAGCAACAACAAATAGATCCTCCACTTTTTAATGTATATAATCTTCTGAAATTAAGCTCTCTCCAAGTATAAACCACAGTAAATACTACTTTTTAAATATACAGCACAATGCATGGTCTATAGGTGACAAAAACACTAATTTTTATTCTAAAATGACAATGTGACTTCTGGTGATGACTTTGTTAACAAGTACTTTTAAAAGAGCTACAAACTGCTTTAAAACAATCAAAGAGTGGAAAGCTCTCAAAATACACCTATGTCCAAAAAATACATACGAATTGGGCTCTTTTCAGGGGACGTGGTTCTCTTCCTTCTCTCTCCACCCTTTTCCCTTAGAGATTGGTTTTTAAGCAAGAAAAGAAAAGAAAAAAAAAAAAAACACATGATGGGATGAGGAGTGTCTCTGAAGACTGGATTGAGATCCCGTCCCATGGGATCCAAAGCTAGCTGGCAATGCAGAAATAGGAAGAATGCTGACAGGAAAACTCAAGGGAAGATTTTTAAAAACAGTTAAATCCACGGAGTAAATAGCTGGGAGTTATTGATGTTATTTAAAGCTCCACTCCCCTCCCACCCCCGCACCCCATCCCTCCACCATTCTGTGCCTTGGTGATTTGAGGAATTCAAAGAAATTTTGACCATTCCAGATGTCTGAGCCCCAGGTCATGATCCTGTGAAAGGTGGGATTCTGTGCTCTGGACCTAATGAGTTTTCCATCCTTTGAGTCACATGAAAACTTTCCAATTCCCAGGGATCTCATTTGGGGAATAAAAATGCAAAGAACATTTTCAGTTCCATCAAGAAATCTCTGAGGAAAGCCAATCTTAATAGAAGTTATTAAAAATGATTAGCTTCCTAGGGTATGCTCCAACCCCAGAGTTTCTCTTAAAGAGTAGTTGCAGGGGGATCCCTGGGTGGCGCAGCGGTTTGGCGCCTGCCTTTGGCCCAGGGCGCGATCCTGGAGACCCGGGATCGAATCCCACGTCGGGCTCCCGGTGCATGGAGCCTGCTTCTCCCTCTGCCTGTGTCTCTGCCTCTCTCTCCCTCTCTCTCTGTGTGACTATCATAAATAAATAAAAATTAAAAAAAAAGGAAAAAAAAAAAAAAAGAGTAGTTGCAGGGAGGGGCGCCTACAAAGAGGGCATCTTAAAGATGAAACCCAGGAGGTGAAGGATTTGAAGTTTCTGTTGCGGTTGGAACCATAACAAAGTTGTGGTCTGTGTGGCTCCTGCTGCTGCCAGCGTGATTTTCAGAGATAGTCAGATACAGAGCAATGGGCCATGCAGAAGGAAGAGGGAGCAAGTCACTCATAGGACAACATGCGTTCAGTACATATAGTTCAGCAATTAGTCGACTCGAGGCTCATTCAGATGGGCTGACATTAACACCTACATTTGCAGGTGAGCTCACCTGTGCCGCGAACTGCGCATGTGACAGCCAGTGAAATCTGTCTTGCTTTCTGCGTTTTAATTTCCAAAAGAATTTTGATGAGTACATACACACACTGAAGGTGAAAGTACACTTTAGCTACTGCCTAACCCAAACTGCTGCAAGAGAGTTCTTATTGTTTAATAAGTGCCAAGGCAAGTCACAACAGTGACACCCCAGAAGGCAGCCAGGCACAGTCTCCAAACCAAACCAAGCCAAAACAAACCAAACCAAACAAACAAAACCCCCCACAATCTTCTAAAAAATAATGACATCAGAAGGCTTAGCTCAGTGCTAACCTCAGCCAAGGGTACAGATGGGCCATGCTGGTGCTCATCATGCTTCCTCAAATTTGATAACCACTTCAACCAACTCAAGATGTCTAAAAAAAAAAAAACAGCTAGTTCATAAATAAATATTTGAATTTGGAAAAAAGTCCTGTTAGCAGAGTATTCCTTAGAAAAAGTGGGTTGACCGTGCAGTTGAATTTTCTGTAGGCTTGTGGGGATTTGAACTCAATGGAGACATATTAAACCCAAAATCATTGATTCTATGGAGAGAAAAGCCTTCCGTTAAGATATAGACCTAATTTGCTTTACTTTTTGTGTGTGTGTGTGTGTGTGTGTGTGTGTGTGTGTGTGTAACAGTCACATTTTCTGGTGAAATCTGGTGAATTCAGAGAAAGCAGCCTTAACTTCTAACACAAATTTGCAGGCTGAATGTCTGTTACATACCGTAATAAGAAACCAACACCTTGCGTAGACTAGCTTTACATTTCCATAAGGCATACATCAAAGTTAGAAGTGGGTAGTGAATCAAATTCCTAAGAAAGCCAAATTGAGGTTATAATTCCACAAACCAACAGAGCAGTATTTTCCCAAAACACTATCAGTGTTGAACCTGTGTGACAAATATTAATGATGCAGCATGCAGACCTGATAAAGAGCCCCCCTGGGACTGTGACCTTCACAAAGTGGGTTCGGCGTCACGTTAAGGTTGACATAAACAACACTAAAAAGAATAACAGACAAGCCCAAACAAAGGCATTTCAAATTAAAAGAGATAAATAAAGCTAGCTTTATTGAAATCCAATCAAACTAATTTGTTTAGTTAACCAAAGATAGATGGAGGATCATAAATAGCTTCCAAAGTAGAGCCCTGGCTTTCTCAGAAGACTCGGGGCTGACAAAGATGTCTCCCACTGCCAGATGCTTTGTGCACACATATCTAAGCAACCCTGAAAGAGGTCATCTCCCACTTGTATGTACAGAGCTGGGGTGACCAATGCAGCAGCCACCAGCCACACGAGACCATGGAACCCTTGAACCAGGACTGGTCTGAACAGACATGTGCTCTAAGTGCAAAAGGTATGCTTGTATTTTGAAGACTTTGTGCAAAAAAAAAAAATATGAACTATCTCATTAGTCATTTTTATAGTGATTACATGTTGAAATAATAAGATTTGGGATATAGATAGTGTGCAGTAAAGAACTTGGTCTTTGTGCGAGACCTCCAGGAAATAACTTATCTGAGACCTGACAGAGTGTCTTTTTTTAGGGTGAGGCCAGTCACAACCATTGGTCTTTGGGTTGGAGCCAATTGGCCATACCACAAACACCACCCACATGATTTAGGGTAGGAGCTTGGAGTCAAGTGGCATCCACCCATGTAGACACTGGCTTCAACCATGTGGACAGTAAACCAATCATTCAAGCCTAGAATGAAGAGCTCCAATAAAAACATTGGACGCTCAACTTGGGTAAGCTTCTCTGGTTGGCAATCCTCCACACATACTGTCTCAGATCAATAACCAGAGCATAGAAGGCTTGACTCCACAGGGAAGAGGATAAGGGTGTCTTTGCCCTACACAGCTCTTCATGGGGTGGGTTTTAGTCCAATAAAGTCTATTATTTCCCTAGAATAAACTGTAGCTATGAGCAGAGCAATCATCAGTGAGTTCTATGCAGTAAGAAGCAAATGCTGCAGATCTTTCTAATCTGGGACTATGGAAATCAGATTCTGGTTGATAATAATAGGTGGAATGAATTAAACAACAACCTGAGTCAGGTCTGCTCACTAAAATAAAGAACACAAAATTTAAAACAAAAGCTGACAATTCGATAATAAAGAGGCAAACTTAATTACTCAAAAACAACACTGTGCAGAATACAAGTAAAAACCATCTTTCTACAAAAATCCATCTAAAATAATTATATAAATACGGCTGAGTAATGAAGCCTTACATTATTTATACGTACTTTTTATTTGTAAAAACTAATCAGATAAAGGTACTGAACAGAACTTTATTGAAAAGTCATCCACCAAAAAAAAGTACAGAAAACTGTATTAGAAAAAAAAAAAAACGGGCTCATGTTCGAATTTAATAACTAACCCCCACCACTGTAAACTCTAAAACCAGAAACACCCTTTCTTATTATTAGCTTTTATTATAGTGCATCTTACATCATCATTTAAGACGGAACTTTTGTTGCCTGTCCAATTTTTAAAAAATGCTTTGTTAGATACTTGGAAGAGTATCTTTCTGAAAACAAAGAGCAGAGACCCAGGATCACCCAGTCCTGGTGGCAAATCACCTTTATCTGAGAACCAGTGTCAGCAGATGCTGGACTTGGCTCCAAGGCGGGGGCTGGCCCATCCACGGGCGTGTCTCTGGGGCATTATCCCCTCTACTGTCCTGGCTGCCCAAACTCTGCCTGCCATGTGCATTCGGGCCAGTCCCCTTCTCACTGCATATGAAAGTTAAACTACCATAAGAACTGTTCCGGGTCAGCTGTCCCTTTGCCACCAGTGACTCAGGGCTCTGTATCCCCAAGTCCCTCTCCTGAGCACAGACTCACAATGCAGCTCCATTCCGAGCCTGGTGCCTGAGTCTAACACTATCCCTAATTCAGTGAGTCTGGGACTCAGAAATGCCACTCCTCTCCTCCAAATTCTTTCACTTGAGTTCTTCCAAAATGTAGCGATAGAAATCGTAAATCATGCTACTGTTTGAGTCCCACTTTATTTCTTCCTTACGTGCTATGGTATTCCCACACAAAAATATATCCAGAACCTGGTACTTATGTTAAAAAAAAATCTTTATCAAAGTGCATTTACAAAGAAGGTGGAATCGTGTATTTGCAGGTGAAATGGCATGATGGCTGTAACTTTTAAAAAAATATTTTTTAAAAGACTTTTAAAAAATATATGTGTATGTGTGTGCATGTGTGAATGTGTGTGCAAATGTATGCACATGTGAATGTGAGTGGGTGCAAGGGTACACGTGTGTGCATGTGTGCACATGTGTGTATGTGTGTGCATGCATGTGCATATGTGTCCAAGTGTAGAGAATGGCAGTAGATTAAGTAAGAATTGAAGAATGTAAGCAGGTGGTGAGTACAGTGCACCCTTCTATTCTTGCTACTTTTCCTTATGTGTGGAAATTTCTGTAGTAAGAAGTCCTAAGGAAGCATCTGTCCCTGGTAAACTCAATTCAGCAAATATCTATTGAACACGAGGATGTGTGTTACCCCTGGAGATGCACTAGCAAGCCCTACTTTGTGCCCATCCTCAAGGAGCTCACAACCCTGTAGGGTTAAGGAAAGGACAGGCTCTGAGTGTATCCCTCCCTGAGTCTGTGCCCCTGCAAACCCACCTTGAAGACCCTCTGACCCTGAGGCAGACTGTACCCCCACACCTTGACTTGCTTGGGCCATCAGGATGGGAGCAAACGTTACTCAAGCAGAAGTTCCAAGAAGCCTTTCACCCTGGTGCCTGCCCTCTCCTGCTGCACAGCCTCACAAGGGATGGCGGTCCAGGAGAGAGAGGCCTCAGCTGTCCTCACTGTCCTTGGCAAAGGTCCCAGCCACGTCAGCCAGGAGGGTACCCCAGACCACCCAGTCTGGCTGAGCTGACCCAAGCAGCACAAGGAATAAACAGTGTTTTATTTAAGGTGTTGTATTTGGTGTGGTTTGTCATGTAACAAAAAACAACATATACAGTAAGTGAACACATCTATACTGATTTGGGAGGGCCCTAGGGTCAATGGATGAAGGTGACATTTAAGATGGAGATGCTGGGGGAAGGGTTGCAAATTCATGGACAAGGAACATCTGCTTTGACAGGTAAAAGCTTCCTTTTGTGTCTGGCTTAGAACAGTTGGCTTCTGTACCTGCTACTCCATGAGATCTGTTCTGACTGAGGGATGTAAAGAGAGCCCAGCACTTGCTGATAGGTGGCCAGGAAGGGGTGAGCCTTTTCAGATCATCGTAGATGTTATTCTAGGGGACTTACATAAAAACTCGACAAATGGGAATGTCCCAAGGTAAGATGCAATAGGGAAACTGAATTCCTATGATGCTCCGCTCCATCCAAGTCCACCCATCTCCCCCTCACTTTGGAGGGATCTGTGACTATGTCACACTGTGTATGATCATTGCAGAAATACAGATTCACTGGGAGATGCAGGTCTTCCAGACACTGGGGCGTTGTCATTATACGACATCCGAACAAAAATCCCACTTCAGTGTACAACCACCGACCTCACCAGAGAAGCCTTTATGTCTGGGGAAGTTGTCTACCACGTGGTGTGGTGGCTTTCCAAAATTCTGATTTTTCTCAACGATTCAAACATTTTTGTTGGCAACAAAGACCGCCAGTTGTTTTGCTTAACGAGATTGGCTCGATCCACTCATTTTTAAGAAAACATCTGACAAATGCCCAAATCCGAATAACCCGTTTGTCTACCAATCATTCTTTTGGATACAAAATTGTATTAAGAAGTATCTGGTTCAATTTGTAACCCAATCACACAATAGCCTTTTCTCCAGGTAAATGCCGTACTTCATTCAGGACGCGGCAGACAGGTTTATGCATACATCCTGTGTCACCACACGAACATTTAAAAACACATGTATTCAAAGGTTAATGTTAATGTTAATGATAAAATCAAAAGTTTTTATGGCTTCATCAAGGAGATCTTAAAGTGATTTTTCTTTTAAACTCCAAGGGGTGGTGTGGATAATCAATGACTGGCTCACATTGATGCCACTGCCTTCATTAGGATGAAGGGGTCAGCAGTTTTACTCATTTCCTAAAGGTGAGAAAGGCAAACAATGCCTCAGTGTCATGATGAAAATAGGCTTGACTTTGTGGAGGCCCAGAAGGAGTCCAGGGATCCCCATGTTGACACGTTGACACTACTGGTTCAGACGATCACCTTTTAAGAAGGCAGTCAAACTAGTCAACATAAAACCAGCAGCTGGGAAGCTTGTCCTTTTTCATTATGAGATTTACAGTTTGTTAAACTGCCCTGAAAAAGTGCAACCTCCAGTTCCTGCCTGGGAAGTGTGTGATGTGAAGAAGAGGGTAGGCACACTGTGGCTGTAGAGATGAGCGTCCACACACGCACAGTGTTCAGAGCCTTGGTAAGGGACCACTGGTCCCACAAAACACTGCATGTACCCTCACCCCAACACGCAGTCTCCAAGCGCCCCAAATTGAAATTCTATAAAGAAAGTGCATAGCCTGCAAAATACCCCTGCCAGGAATAATGCTGACAAATGATAGGGGCATAGCAGATGAGCTGGCATGGCACAGGGACCAACAGTGCTGGTGACCAAGGCTCCTTGCAGGTTCCCTTCCCCTCCCCCCCAAGAGCAAAGTCTCATGCTCAGGGGTCCCTGAGGCAAATGGGCCTCTGGGTTGGCTGCTTTGGTTTTGCAGGTGCCAGCTGTGCTGCGCCTTTCCCTAACTCCCCACTGAGAACTCAGTCTGCCATCAGCTCTTCCCACCAGCTCTTCCCACCAGTCCCCGAGTCATCATGAATTTAAAGAGTCAATAAGGGAATTAGCCTAGAGAGCTACAAAGTCCTCTCCTCTTCAAAGCTCTTCAGATAAACAGTCCAACCTTAGAAACTACATATACCACCTCAAAGATTGCGGCTCTCCATGCACATGGGGTGGCTGCAACCTTTATAGCACAGCCTCTAAATCACTCATTCTGAGCTCATGAAAAAGAAAACAGAAAGAATACTACAAGATTTGGCTATTGGGCTGTTCTTGCCATTTGGCAAAAATATATTTTAAAAATCAGTTAAGTCTTAAAAGTATCTACACGAATAAAAGAAACATCAGTATATGGGATTTGTAATACACTCCTGTGGCCACAATGGGCAGGGTCGATAGAAACACTAGCAGGTCCCATCAAGGGTCCCTGCTGCCCTTAAACCCCATGGCCTCCAACCCTCTAACTCCGCAGCCCCTAACCCCACAACCCCCCGAACCCACAGCCCTCCCATCCCACAGCCCCCCAACCCTGAAGCCCCCCGACCCCACAGCCCTCCCATCCCACATTTTCCCCAGCTCAGCCAGCACAACACCACACAACAAACACATACCCACTGCATTTGCGCCATCTCCTTCATTGATTCTGTGAAAGCGACAGCGAATCTAGTAAAAAAAAAAAAAAAAAAAAGGAGGGGGGGAATTAGCGCAGAATTCAATTAACATAACTAGGGACCAGCTCCGTGGAACAAATTGTGAGAGACAAGGTGAGAAGCTGAATTCCAAGTGTCATCAATCTTTATCGTGCGCGGTCAGTGGTTTTCAGGTCCAATCTCCACTCACATCAAAACAAGTTGTGTGTGCAAGAAATTAACAAATGAAGCTCAACATTTCAATTTTTTGTTGTTACTGTTCCTTCCATGTAAGGTCAGAGAAGCAGGGGAAAAGTCAGAAGGCCAGATGCAGAAGAGAAGCAAAAGATTTAGTTAATCCACTCAGAACATCCCAGGACAAGCTGTCCAGTCCATTAGCTTCAGCGAGGAAAGCCTATGCTAAAGTAGTCAAAATGTACCAAATGCACATGGATAAGGGATGTTAATCTCTACATTTATCAAACAATGGCTGTTTCTAGAATTAGAGCTGGGTACACATGGGATGAACCAGGGACATCTCATGGAGGCCAGACAGTCAGAAATTGCTCAAAACCGGTGAGGGATAGGAGGCGCAGAGGGCATCACACCTTCCACTGGGGCCATCTTCCCCACCCAGGCCCCGCATGCAGCTGGCATGAGCATGGGCTGACCCAGCAATGATGGGTGTGCCGGCACCCCTCATACAACACTCCACGTGCCCCTGGACATGGACAGGGGTATGGGCCAAGTGCGTTCTGGGGGCATCCAGCACATTCTGAGACCTATATTGCCACGCAAGGACAGTGCAGGAACCTTCCTTCATGGGAGACTGTGAAAACAGGACACTGCAGAGCCAAACAAGGAGCACAACATGGGTAAGCTGCCACCAGGTTCCTGGTCCCCAGCAAGTATTTCCCGTTACTGTTTTCTACCAAGACTACCACCACCACCATGACCCCTGCATGGTGCCCCATGAACAGACCATGGAACAGCTTTAAACCTATAGGAAAAAGAAGAAAAGAGAAGACCCCAAAGACAGAGAAAAGTTGAAGAACAGGGAATGAGGTCAATGACCGAAGGACCAGGCCTTTCCGCCATCACAGAGTTTCTAGACAAATGCGCAGTGCAGCCTCAGGATGGCCCCTGTAAGATTAATCCACCCCTGTGGCAAACTTGGCCACCTTCTCTTGAATGGGGAGGCCTGCTTGCTGTCACATACCTGCCCCTGGCTGGAGTCACACCTGGCAGCCCAGAGACGGGCAAGGGTATGCAGATTGAATAAATGACCAAGTGCACGGGTGGAAGTCCTGCCTTACATTCCCACAGGAAGCAGGTCAGGGGAAGGAAGAAGGGAGAGCAGGTGTGGGGGGCTGACCGCAGAAGCGGGAGGATGGGCACGCTCGCCCAGCAGCTGGTGACTGTCCCCACCCTGTAGCCCTTTCTGCTGGCATGCCCCATTTGTCTTGGACCCAGACACCAGGGGATCGACAGCACGGCTGACCACAGATGGGAGCAAGGAGAGCCTTGGAAAGGTTTCCATCAGAAAGAGCGATGTGTAAACATTTTGGGATCCAGTGGCAGGTCTGCATGAACTCCATCATGTCCTTTTATTGTGGAGCGGCAGATAACACCTTCCTTCTCGGGGTCTCACTACAGAGACACTGGCCCTGGGTTTGCACCACCTTCCTAATAGATAACCATCAAGAGAGTTTCTGACCCAGTGACCCTAAGAAAATAAAGAAATTGAAAATAACCCATTTCTTAGGAAAAGTGTAAAACTACCACTTTTACACCACGAGATGAATACTGCCGTTTCAAAACATACTCACTTTGATGTGTGGTTTTGTTTGTCAAAAACATCTTTAGCAATATCATAGCTCAAAAACCCCATGAAATGATACTGAACCATTTTGGCCTACCATTTCACATGGTCTAACCCACCACGTGCTCTGTATTTCCTAACTGTGAAACTATTTCTTAGGCAATTTATTTCATATAAACTCTCTTTTGCTCATTTGCTGGGCAATATTACTTTTTTCTAAGATGCACCTGGATGATTCTTCACAGAACAATTTCTACAAGTTTCAAACTCCTTACTTAATTTGGCATTTATAATTACCAAATACTTATATTATAAAACAAGCCAGAAAGCTGATGCTGAAGTAATTTCAAAACTGTACCATACAGGGGGGAAAATGTTTTAACTATAAAACAAGTTAAAAAATACACCTTATAAGAAAAATATAACTATTTAAAAGTATTTGATTAAAAATGAAACTCATTATAAAGCAAGACAAGTCCAATACTTTATTTTACAGAAAACTATGCCATATGCTCTCCGGCAAGAAATTTATGATTCATCCAACCTCCCTGACCACTGACTCAATCAATACCCCTTCCAAATGAAAATCAATGTGTTTTAATAACAATGCAATGAATAATGCTAACGATAATACCATAAGATGAATTCATTCAATATTGTTTCTACCTAGCAGAATTATTTCCCCTCCGTAAGACAGTGTAAAGCACATGGATCAAAAGGTAATAAATTTTTAGAGCATAAGAACAACAATATCGAGAAAACCTATAATAACTGATCACCTTTCAAGATCAACCTCAAACTCTGGGTACCTTTATTTACTGTAATTCTCTCTCCATCTGACTCACAGGCTCACACACGCACACATGGCTATTTGGCTCTATTTCGATAAGGAGGCTGTACTGCCACATTCATGTCCAGGAAGTTATCAGGACGAAGCGGGTCTTAAAATGTAATGATATCTCATGGTAACCCTAGTTTCCAAGAGCAAGACTGCTTCTCCCCTTATAAAAATGGAGGGGGGTTGCCTTAACGCTTCATGGTAGAACAGGGAGTGCTGTCCTTTGTAAGAGATCAGGAATGCTCCAGTGACATAAAGAGGCAAAGAGTTCTGAATTCCCTTACCACAGCTTCTCAGCCGTGAGATGGTTAGAGGTGAGCCACAGGCATTTCAGTCATTTATTGGGGGCATGAAAGCAACATAAATGTCCAGCAAGAGACAAATGGACCAAGAAAAGCACATAGTAAGCACATACAGTGGAGTATTACTCAACCTTGAAAAAAGAGGAAATCCTGTCATTTGCAACAACATGGATGAACCTGGAGGACATGATGCTCAGTGAAGTGAGCCAGACACAAGAGGACAAATATTGCATGATCCCACTGATGTGAGTATCTAAAGTACTAGAACCCCCAGAAGGAGAAAGCAGGGCGGTGGTTGCTGGGGCCCGAGGGAGAGGGAACAGGAAGGTATTTATCCAAGAGCACAAGGTTTCACTTGCATGAGGTGAGTAGGTCCTGGAGATCTCCTGGAGCCTACAGTTAAGGATGCTGTCATGTAAGCTTACAAATTTGCAAGGAGGGTAGATTTTATGCTAAGTGCTCTTGGCATGATAATAAAGAGGGGTGGGAAGAAACTTCTGGAAGTGATAGATGGGTTTATGGCACAGATCAAGATGATAGTTTTACTGATGAAGACTTAAGGGGCTGTATATATCAATTATATACAGCTTTTTGCACGTCAATCATGCCTCAATAAAGTGTTTTTTAAAAAGAATTAATAAAGCAGTTTGTCCACATTAAAAACATAATGATCGCCTGCTTTATTTTGTTTTTGTTTTACAATGATTCAAAGATGTACAAGAGTTGAAAGGGAGCATTTGTGACTATTTAGGTTTTGTTTTGATTTCTTTAGCCTTTTCAAACAATGTTTATATGGACATAGAGGATTTCTATACTGTTACTATTTATGTTAAATATTACCATTATATTTCTGATACAGAGGAATGGGGGTGATTTTTTTCCCCACCAGTCCTTCTGGTTCACTCCACAATGCTGTACCAATAGGATTCTCTAAGCATGTCTGGACAAAGAAAATGTTGGGGAGTGCATCTCTGGATTCTTGCGTGGAGGCAACAACTCCCACTCCAGGGGCTAGAAACATATTGGCCTCAAGCTGCAGCATCCAGCAGGTGCTGCTGATGTGCAGTGTCCAGGCTCCGGGATGTGCAGCACAGGCCCCAACAACAGATAACCATCCTACCCCAAATGCCCACAGTAAGCCGGCTGAGAAATCCCACTGGTGACATCCTCACAGATGGTTTTCTGTAGCTCAGAAATCTATGGAGCTCAGAGTTATGCCAAAAACATGCAAAGTAGAACCTGACTGGAGTCTGTGTGTGGTGTTCTCTTGGAGGACAACAATGCTGTTGTGCCTTTTACCCTGTAGGACATTTCAAGAAGGCTGGCCCAATGTTAATGTCCTCAAAAAGTCATTCACATGCAATGACTTGCTTACAATGACTCTTCATGGCAAAATTCATAGGTGCCAAATGAAAAAAAGAGATTAGCTTTATTACGGTAAGATGTAAACTTCCCGAACTACTGCTTTCTTTAATATTTAGGTTTCAATGAACTCTGCCCCAGTGTTTACCTCCTGTGAAGTTCTCAGAGGCATTACCTGGCTTCCTCGAGGACTTTCCCCATCACTTGGTTTTTTTCTCTCTGGTTAATGTCTTCATTTAAATCAGTTCCACCAAAGATGATTCCAAAAGGAATTCCATGACCTGCAAAATATGAAAGTTAATGAAGCAGAGCATGGTTTTGGAAACAGACCTCATCAGCCCATCCCAAAGCAGCATGAAACCTGTGTTCCCAGAACTCGGGGACCGTGTTTTGATGTTTGTTTCATTTTATCCAGCTCACCTGAGGAGCAGAATAGGACTCACTATTATAAACATGACATGGGGATTAATCATATCAGACCGCAGGTGCCAGGACCATTTTAAATCAATTAGCTTTAAATTTTAACAAATGAAGAATCGTGCTGGCCACCATCTATCAAAGCTGAGCTTCTTGCTCTCGGGAAACGGGCTGATCTGGAACCACTGGCATTTTGACAGAGTAAGAGCAGCTCAAAAGCAGCCCGGCTGGGGGCTCCCAACAGCAGGTGTCATGCTCTCCAGGAACTGGGGTGATGTCGGGCGCCCTGCCCACTGTGACTTTGGGGTGAATGCAGCTCAGCTATGGCAGCAAGCAAAAGTATCCAAGACACTGCACGTGTCAAGTGTGGAAGGATTCATCAGGGATCAAGTTTGTTCTGGGGGAAGCTCTTTGTGCTGCTGACAGGCTTAGCTGAGAGACATTTGCTGAGCAAGGGCGAGCGAGGCAACAGACATGCACAGACCAAGCTGAATGATGTACTCATCAGAAGCAACCCTCCAGACGGACTTCCAAAAGTCAACCAAAAATTTGAAGAGATGCTGGCCAGCAAACCACCAAACTGACCAGACTAACCAGAGTGTCCATACAGGGATTTCTGGAACACACCATCCCTCTTGAGATTTCAGTATGTCAGTCAAAGGGTACTCGACTACTCCTTTTATGTGCCTTAGAATTATTCTTGTCAATGCAAATGAGTGGATGTCTTCTCTCTGGGAAGGTGACTCTTCCCCTGGAATCTGCTAAGAATTCAGCCTCTAGATACTAAGCCCAACAGTAGCATACTCGGAGACAGCGAGGCTGCTAGTAAGAGCAAAAGATGAGAAACGACTCAGATATATCAGTGGAGACCAGCCTTTAAAAAAAGAAAGCAGACAGGGTTGTGTGTGTGTACACTGACATAAAAAGACTGAAAAAAAAACTATTATCACTATTACTAGGAGAAAAATCAAGCACATGTTGGTTAATACAGTATACAAGTATTATATAAAAATGATAAACATATACATTTCTATACACACATATTTATATTTATGTTTATGTTTATAAGTTCTGTGAAAGAATACACAGAAAACTGGGTTGTTGTTGCCTCCCAACAAGGGACCTACAAGCCCACAGATCTGGGATGCAAGGGAAACCTGCTTTACACTCTAACATTTTATGTTGTTGGCACTTCCTGCTATTGGCACTGTGACCTTTTCCCAAACCACAGACAGACAGGGAAAGCACACTCCGTAGAAATGATTCACCTTTTGCGATGGGTGCAGACTTGTGGGGATGCTGAGAGTGAACGGTTTTAGCACGTGGGATGGACACGAATCTCTGGGGCTGAGGGAGGTGTGAGGTGGGAAGAATGATGACCCCAAAGATGTCCGTTGTTAACTCCTGGATCCTATGAATGTTTCAGGGGAGAGGCGAATTAAGCTATTTAGAATTGAGGCTGCCAGTTGGCTAACCATAAAACGGGACAGATGATTGTGGATTTCCCAGGGAGGCCACTGTAATCATGGGGTCCTTAAAGGTGGAAGAGGCAGGCAAAGGAGGAGCTCCCATCACTGCCGTGTGAGGAGGGGCTGGACCATGCATCTCTGGCTCTGAGGGTGGATGGGGCCATGAGTCAGGGAGTGTGGGTGGAAAATAAGGAAACAGATTTGCCACAAAAGACTCCAAAAAGAAACACAGTCCCACCAACGTTTTGATTCTAGCCCCAAGAGACCCATTTCAGCTTTCTGACCTCGGGAGCTACAGGATTAACAAGTTTCACACCACAGGGTTTGTGGTAAACCATGACAGCAGCCCTAGGAAACTAGTACAATCTACCTCCCTAATAAAAACTGCCAGTTTAGGAAAATCTGGGTAAGAAAAATCACAAAAAAAGTCTTTTTTCAGTGAAATCTCCAAAGACAGAGAAATAGACACCAGAAAAATACACACCGGGTATCGCAGAAGCTGCTCAGAAGTTATGAGAATATTCAATAGTTAAAATGATCAGCCCTGCCAGATAATTAAGCCAACTGGCAACTGCTCAAATATATCAGATCAAATTTAGTAAGAAAAACATAAGACTTTGACACCAGATCATCCTGGGTCCGAATCCTGGTTCCCCATTTGGAAAATGGTGACTTTGAGCGAGTCACTCAGTTTCTCTGAATTTCCGCCATCTCATCCATGAAATGGAGGTCATGATAATTAGCTGACTCGCTCCTGGGATTAAATGACTCACTACATACATATGACATACAGGCACAGGATGGAATCTGCTTGTGATGCTAATATAACTGTGCTTTACGATGAACGAGTTTTTAAATATATAAATCCAGAAGCTCCCTGAATTAAATTAGCACTTGGAAGAATGGAATGTGAGATATTTCATTTACTTTCCTATTTTTTTCAATACTCATTCTATTGTTGAGAAAACAGAGCTTCGAATAAGTAGCATGTTAGTCTTAATGGCAATGCATCCATAATTATGAGTGGGAAATTCTCGAAGTCCTCTGAGATAGCATCATGCATATAAACTGTCTGCAAACTCTTACTGACCCTTCAAAACCTCATTCAGACATGCCCTCCTCACTGAAGTCTTTCTTAGATCCCTCAGAAGTAAATCCCCCACTTTGATGCCCTGCCATGTATCATAAGGCTTTAGGATTGATTTGCAGACTGGAAAATCCGCGAGAACAGGCACCGTGGCTTATTAATTTTGTACCCCTTGCTCCTAATAAAATGCCTGCTACACATTAAATCTCTAAACAGCATTTGTGGAAATGAACTGAGCCTGAAAAGTGCTATACAAACTATTTTCCAAGTGCATTTACTCAGAGCCACCCAAGTGACTGGTCCTATTTCATAAATCAGCTCCTCTGCTTTAAATGTGTCATTCTCAGGAGTCTGCCAAGAAAAAGCATCAGTTTCCTGAACCTGGCTCCTTAATCAGCCACCTGATGCCATCTGCTTCCTCACCAGGTTCAAGCCTGAAGCAGATTCTCAAAAAGAAGCAGAGAAAGAGCTTCATCAAAATGTTTCTCATCCAGTTTTCTGCCAATGTAAGGTCACCAGGCAATTTTTCTTTGTGTGCTACATGGGGCCTGTGAAGGAGAGCCCAGGGAGCATTCTGCACAAGAGCAGTGTTCTATTATAGTTCAGGCAAGGATAGCTATGAAGTTCTCTTCCTGCACACATGAAAGGCTGGTAGGTATACACAGTGAACCTCTGTCACAGACATGTCCAAGAAGGAAGAACAAATGCCAACACATTACTTTGACGTTAGTATGGTAATTGGTCCATGACTTAAATAAAGCATTAAGATTCATGTTTTTTTTTAAACCGTGTATACTGTAATATAGCTATAATAGATATTAATATTGTTAATGAGCTATTTCTAATCACTTGAAGTCTTCTTAGCAATTTATTTACCCAGTAAATACTGGTTTTAAAAAGAAAAGCAAATTTCCATTTGTCCATGCCATTATGGTTTTATTTAGATATATTTACTATGCACAGACATGTTAAGTGTGGCTGATTATTCACTGGCAATATGTGTCTGCAGTAAAAATGCACAGGTATGTCCTGTGAGATGGCTGTGTTTCTCTTAGAAAATCCTAAAGTGAACGGGTTACCAGGGCTTCTGCAGATGCTCGCCCATCACAACATTGCTTACAGTCAAGGGGGAAGATGGAAATAGGGTATGACCGCTCATAATCATGCTGCGGAAGACCATTCAATGACGAGGAAATGTTCCTAACATGTCAGTAGGTAAGACAGATTGCTGAGCTGTGAGATGACCATGATTTTAAAAATACACATCGAAATTGCAGAGAGAGACAGACCAGAATGTGAGACACAGTGTCATCTCTGTGCTTATAGCACCTACCACAGCACTTAGCCCAGGTAGCAGCAGTTAATAGTTGGTTAAAAGAAGTTGCAAGTTTATATTGTAAGAGTGGATCTCCTTTTGTAAATTTAAATTTGAGGGATCCCTGGGTGGCGCAGCGGTTTGGCGCCTGCCTTTGGCCTGGGGCGCGATCCTGGAGACCCGGGATCGAATCCCACATCGGGCTCCCGGTGCATGGAGCCTGCTTCTCCCTCTGCCTGTGTCTCTGCCTCTCTCTCTCTCGCTGTGTGCCTGTCATAAATAAAATTTAAAAAAATCAAAAAAAAATTTAAATTTGAATAAAAATACAAAATCAATGAAAGCGAACATGCACAGGAAACATTGGTCACATCTGGGTAGTGAAAGTCAAAGTGCTGTACTTCCATCTTTGTATTTTTAAGAAGTTTCCAAGTCATGTGCTTAGGTAATCTTTTAAAAAATCATAAATGCTATGTTTTAAAATACAGTTTAATTGAGGGGCGCCTGGGTAGCATAATCGGTAAAGCGTCTGACTCTTGATTTCGGCTCAGGTTGTAATCTCACGGTCTTGAGATGGAGTCCCACATCGGGTTCCCTGCGCAGCAGAGAGTCTGCTTGAGATTCTCCTCCTCCCTCCGCCCCTCTGGTTCACGTTCTCTCTCACTCTCTCTAAAATCAATAAATCTTAAAAAAATGCATCTATATATATATATATATATAGTTTATAGAAGACTATCTCAGAAATATCTGGCCCTCTCATAGAATGAAATCATACACAAGCACAGGGCAGCTCCTTATAGGGACAGGAGAGGAAAGAGGCCCCCAATGCATCAGGGGAGAATCACAAGGTGCGTGGTGGCATCCTCACTATTTGCCGATGGCAGTTCCAATGCTTCTAATGGTCACTGCTCAGAGACAGCATGCTTTCAAAGAGACGACGCTCAGAAAAAAATGTAACTACCAAAAAGACAACGGCTAGGAATAGACAAATAAAAG